TCATCGAATCCACCAAGTATGTAAAAATACTGAAAGAATTGTTGATAGTGTCTGTCAAGGTTTTTTGGATGGAGAGAACAACATTTTAGTTTGAAAAATTACTCTCTGATCTTTTCCAATCTGTAAGTTTCTTGTCCACAAAAGATTGCTGCAAATTGAGAGATAACTTCTGTGATTGTTAGGCATTGAAGAAACTGGAGTTGTCTATATTCACCAATGTTGTCTCAAAAATTTTTCAGAGTTTCAACTAGTCTGAAAACAAATCTGATCAATACTGTGTTCATCATAACATTGGGATGAGAGTTTAATTCAACGAGTCCCCATGCTAAGAACTCTTGGAATCTTGAGGGCCATTTTGAAGGAGAAACATCATCAAGGGTAAAAACTGAGAACTTTGATGTTGAAGGAGGAACATGTGATTGTTGTAGAGAAGGGTGTTGTTCAGCATCCATTGCATCAGGGTTATGAACTTTTGGAGTATCATCTGCTTCAACTGAGTCATCTGAATTGACAGTGTCCATGTGGGATTCAGTTTCAAAGGTAGAAGGAATCTTCAAGGGAGAATTGAGGGAGGTTATCTTGTGCCATCTGGTGAAGTATTTTTGGAAAGTTTGTGTAGAAGAAATCATATGTTGTACAAGTTTTTGGGTTGGTTGTGGTGTAGGGTTTGGAGGTGTGGAACTTGAACTTGGTTTTGGTTTTGAAGGTTGAAAAAGTGGTTGTTCTACTACTCTTTTGAGTTTTGGATCAACTGGTTATTTTTCTCGAAATTTGTGAATCCATTTTTCAGTTGTACCAAAGAGAGGTTGTTCTGGTTGGTTTGAGATGAGAGTGAAGTATTGTGTTGGTTGTAAGGATGTTGGAGTGGATGTTGTTGGAGGTTTATACTGAAAAGATGTGAAAAAAGGTTTTGGAGGTGAGGTTGGAGGATTGTATAGTTGAAATGGAGGAGGAGTATAGGCTTAGTAAGGAGTATCATGCATACCAGTGTGAAATGGTGTGAAGATGTTGTAACTAGAGGCTGCCTATTGTTGTTGTTTCTGACAAAACTTGTTTTGAAGATCTACAAGTTGAATCTTTAGGCTCTTCATTTCTTTCTCTTGTTCAGTGAAAGCATAAGTAAATTCAGTATTAGTTTCAGCCATATATCTGAGTTCTTGATCAAGTGTGATTATCTTTGACTAAATTTTAAGAATAATATTTTGAAGATTGACAAGGTTCTGATCAAAATGTTGACTGACTTGGTCGAACTTGTGTTCAATTTTGTGCAGGTATGAATTCTGCTAGAGAAAATTTTTAATTTGCCAGTTTAAAACTGCTTCAGCATGAGAAACACTTTTTTGGTTCCCATATTCATCTCTATCAGTGGGAGTGAGGATTTTTGGAATGTGTTTGTACTGGTCTTTATGAAACTTTTGAAAATGAGGGAAATCTGAGCTTAGGTAGGTTGATTGCAACATGGAAATTTGTGGTAAAGGTTGGGTGAAATCTTAGGTGAAATCTTGGGTGGAATCTGGTTTTTGTGTGGGTTGATTTGAGTAGGTGTGAGAGTGTGGTTTTTCTTTCTTAGGATAGATGGCATAGTAGTCAAACTTTCTTGAGGGTTCACCAAGGAAATCAACTTCAGGGTCTCTATTTTCATATCTTTCTTTGAGCTTTTACTGGGAAGACTTTTTCTTTTTTTACTTCACAGTCTTTCCAAATTATAATATGTCTCTTCATGATCCAACCTTGTTAGATGCTTTAAAAGTTTAAGTCCAGATTGTAGGCACATAAATGAAAGGCCTCTAGGCAACCCTTCACTACCAGATGGCATATAGAGTTCAAGATCATGCCATTAACTTGCCTCATTCACACTCTAGTGATGTTGTTTTTGTCAAAATGGAAGCAGCAGACAAAACTCCTAGACATGTTCATATTTCAAAGCAGATCTCAAATGAAGAACTTGCCACCCTTCTCCCAAAGATTTGGAAGCAAGATGAACCAATTGAACACTTTGATCCAACCTACAAGACAAATCAGGATGGTACTATCACAATTGAATTTGATCACAATAAAGGAAATGATGTTCCTCCTCCAACAATCTTTCTAACACAATTTATGATGCAAAGATGTCACGCTGATCTCCTTGATGTTCCAGTCACACACTGTCCGATGGAAATCCCGTGTATGCATATAGATCTCCACAAGGACATTGTTATTGGGACATAAATTGTCAATGCAAAGAATGCCAGATAGACGCATATAAAAGCTTCATGGATGATGATGATGATGATGATGATGATGATGTTCCAAAGAAGCAAAAGAAGAAAAAGTCTTCCTAGCAAAAGTTCAAAGAAAGATATGAAAATGGAGACCCTGAAATTGATCTCCTTGGTGAACCCTCAGGAAAGTTTGACTACTATGTCATCTATCCTAAGAAAGAAAAACCACACTCTCACACCTACTTAAATCAACCCACACAAAAATCAGATTCCACCCAAGATTCCACCCAATCTTTACCACAAATTTCCATGATGCAATCAACCTACCCAAGCTCAGATTTCCCTCTTTTTCAAGAATTTTATAAAACACATTCCAAAAATCCCCACTCCCACTGACAGAGATGAATATGGGAACCAAAAAATTATTTCTCGTGCTGAAGCAGTTTTAAATTGGGAAACTAAAAATTTTCTCCAGCAGAATTCATACCTGCACAGAATTAAACACAAGTTAGATCAAGTCAGTCAACATTTTGATCAGAGCCTTGTCAATCTTCAAAATATTATTCTTGAAATTCAGTTAAGGATAATCACACTTGATCAAGAAAATCGAAGAAAAACAACAAGACTTCTCCTTTGTAATAAACCTTTCTTTATAAAATATATTTGGCTAAAAACCTTTCTTCTTTTTTGGTAATTCCATCTTCCTTTTTCCATAGTTAAATCTTTTAACTTCATGTATTTCTTCCAGCTATTCCATAGTTTGCAGTGATACAAGTTAAGTATGCTCTGTAGTTGCCATAATATTATGGATCCTTTGCATAAAAAATTCTTGTTAAACTGTTAAACAGATCGTTGATTCATTTCCCTCAGTCAAAGAAAAGTTATACTAACCCAAGATCATACTAATAGTAAGTTACTATAGTGAAAGACATATTTTCATAAAAGTCAAGCTCCCAGTTCGACGTTAAGCCAAAAGGCACCAGAGTCTTGAACACCAGCTAGAATACCTTGGTTATATGTTTGATCTATGGAACGCTTATGGTTAGTATTATCTTGATAAATTGGTCAATCTACACGCTGTTGAAATAGTTTCAAATAGTATTGTCAGGACTCTATCACCCGAAACTGAAGCTGTGTCAATTGTCAGAGCTTTGGCCGTACTACTTGCCTCTGTGTATAGAAATAATTTGATGGAGACGTTAGACCATGGTGCTGTTTTTTCAGTCAAATTTTGTCCAAACATGATTGAAAAAGACAGTAGGAAAGTGCAAAGATGCTTCATGTGGCTCTGCATGAGACTAACATTGCCTTAGACCAGTGGAACTAGTCAAAGCTTTTAATGTTTTTGATACTTTTCAAGTTTTGATTAATATGTCTGAACCAATAGAGAAATCATTGAAAAAATTGTCTATGAAGCTATCCGGAAGAGTTCCATGGAAGGGTCATGGCAGTGCATAAATTGAAATAGAAACAAGTTTGATTTAGTAATAATGGTTATTGTCATTTTTTTATTAAAAAAAAACAGTAAACTAAGGATAGAAAAAATAATTGTAATTTGAATCTAAATCTATTAAATATCATCTCTTAAGAGTGATTGTTGAACCAATTGAATTATGCTTCGAATTCTACTTCCAGTCATTTTAACAAGGTAATTCTGTCCCAACATTCACTACCTTTTGTGATCTTTATTTTCTTGGCCAAATTTCCTATGTACAAATATCTAAGAATATACTATTCTTGTCATGATTCATTTCTTTGATCCATTAAATTTTGCTACATGATCTTAGCTATAGTCCTATCTTTTGGAAATCTTCTGCAACTTCTCTTTGTTTCTTCAAATTTCTTATTTAAAATAGAAATCAACTGAATAATTTAGTTGAGAAAAGTCCCTGCAACTCTGTATCCTACTAAGTTGAGGCCCTTGTGCAGAAATAACAAAACAAAGTTCAACTAGCCTTTGCAAATAAAGCATAAACCAATAAAAATGAGAAAACAGAATAAGGAAAACTGTCTCACATCTTGCTATTATTTTTTGTTGCCTTAATGAATCAACCCATTCAAACAACGTGCTAGAGAAATAACAAAGCAACCCTGCAGGATTTACTGTTAGTTGTTCTGCTTGGTTCTCTTTGACCAGCCAAATTCACCCAAACTACGTATCTACTGAAGTTTAGTTGACAAATTCTTTACTTATTTACCTTTGAAAAACAACGGATAAAAATGGCAGTGATCCAAGTGCACACGTCATGAATCCCATATTTGTAAGAGAAGGGGTTGGTGGATTTGAGCTTATGAATCATAGATTTTCCTCCACCTAATAAGCACGTTTTTTGGGTTGGAAATGTAGAACCTAATAAGCATGTCTTTTGGGTTGAAAACGTAAACCCTTGACAAGTGATATTAGAGTAGATTCAAATCTTAACTAATACTAATGTAGAGTTTAAAGTGAGAGATACCAGGGTTGAGATAGGCCAGAATCAAGGCGGATCCCTCTGCTCTATGGTTGAAAGAACCAGTGCAATGAAGATATTACACAATTGGGTGGGGGCGAATGTCGCAAATCTCTCATTGGTAAGAGAAGGGGTGGTCTTCGCTTATAAACCATGGATCTTCCTCCACCTAATAGGCATTTCTTTTAGGTTGGAAACGTGAACCCGTGAAACATACACAGATGCACTAGAATTGAAATGAACATAGTTAAAAAGGTTCAAATTCAATAGCCATAACTCATAAGCCAACACAAAATAAGAATCAGAAGATAGAGTAAGATAATATAAATTGACTCACCTTGTTATCCTCTTCAAAGGTTTCTTCTCTAACCATGTTTAAATTAAACATGACTGTTACTGGCATCAACTTCTTAGAATTTCTCTTTTGCCATTGTACGTAAAAATTTCGCATTAATTTTCTTTTCTCCATAGTCAATACAATGCCCATCTTTAGAAAACCCTAGGTGCACAGAATTCTTTCTTCCTGATTGTAAATCTTCAATTCTTTGCCCATTTTTTCCTTTCCATAACTTAATGCTTACATAACTGGTTTCTATAATCCAGCAAATATTTCTGCAAATATGGACTGATGCATTTTGCTAAACAGTGTTCTCTATTTCTCTAAAGGTGAAAAAGAAGGCAAAAAGGTTGAGTGAAAGAAGTAAATTAGGATGAATGACAAAAAGATCCTTATCACAGAGCAAACTAACAATGTGTATAATCCAATATTATTAGATGGAGGATGAAAAAATACTCATTGTCAATGCAAAGCCAATAGCATACAATTACAGAATTCTCAAATATTTTCCATGACTTAAATGGCTTAAAACCTTACAATAGCAATAAATAACAGAAATCTGTGTTGTATGACAATTCAAGATGCAATATCCATAATTCAGATAGAGAAAAAGATGTTTAAGCTTTGAGTAGGTATTGATAACAATCATCTTAGAACAACATTTAACTTGTTCTGCACCTGTTCTCTCACGTTCCACTGCATTCACAATTATAAACATAATTTACCACATTGTCTTACCTAGAAAGAACACTTTAAAATAATAGTAACATCAATAAGAATAACAACAAAAATTAATGCAAGGCAATACCTGCAGCTCATTAATCTCCTCATCTGTGAGTGAACGCTCCATGGACCGGTATGCAATCCGATAACAATGACTTGTCATTCCTTTCTTGTTGGTAAAATTATCTATCAAACTCACCTGGTAGTGACAAAATGAATATTATCTATCAAAAAAGACCCTCGAGTGCTTCATATTATGATTGTTGAAAGATTTTAGGTGATAATCCTTGGTTTAATTAAAGCTAAACATGTAAAAAACTTCCAATCATGTAAAAATTTTGACTTGTTGATACAGTGCATAAGACCTTTATATAGAATTTAAAATAGGCTTAGTACACCGTTCACAAAACAACCGACTTTATTTCAGAAAAAGGGCCAACAACCGTTACAGTCTCAAGCCAAAGAAAATGGAAGCAATCCTTTAGAGTCCATATAGAGCCACTGAATCTAAAAACATAGATATGTAATCAGAAATTACTTACGTAAACTCCATGAAATAAATTATTTCAGTTTTGCTGTTTACAAAGAATGCAATAATGGAAGCCAATCAAACATACTAAGAGTCAATACCATTTCCATCATTTGGATAAACTGACAACACATACTCTATACAACATTCAGTTAGGCAAATTTACCATACAGATGAACCTGTTTATATCTTCAAAAGATATTTCTGGCAAAACAATTTAAATTGCATACCTCTTCAACAAGATCCCCAGCTACTCCTCTTACAACTTCACATAAATTGTTCTCAGTAAACGATTCATTGATCCAGAAACTCATGTCTTTATAACAGGGAGGATACTGCAAAGACAATTCAGGTGTCAAGTCATGGCTCTGTAATAGGTATTAAACAATAGAAAGAATATACTTTGGAAAGGGTTAAAAGAAAACATTGGCTTAATTTATACCTTTGAAAAGGTTTTAAACTTGACTCCCATTTGGCCTTCTGAAAACTGCATTCAAGTAGCTTAATCAGACAAAGGTGGAGATACTAAAATAACAAATCCAAGAACTTCAACATTCAAATCATGGAGCTATGTTTAGAAGCTACCTGTGAGGTAAATCGCTCATCAATTGACCAAAAAAGCCGAATATCCGGTATGTCAAATAAAACCATTGCTAGCCTCTCCAATCCAAGTCCGAAGGCCCAAGCAACACTGTTTAATCTACTATTACTTTTCAATATTTCCTGCTCCATCACTCCGCAACCCAAAACCTCCATCCATTTCTCCTGTCAATTGTTTTAGGTCTTTGGTAAGTTATAACCAGTGCTAAAGTCACATCCAATAATCATTGATTTAAAAAGATTGAGATCAAACGAAATTCAATAAAAGTAAAAGTGAGAGCTAACAACACAGAGTACAAACATGTAGTTAAGGTGTTAGAAACATCCAAATCTTGATATGATTACAACAATAAGCATAGTGTTGACCCTCCAAATTTTTTTATGTTGAACAATCATAAAAGAATTTTTTGACAAAAGGCCATGAGCAATGTAAAAAAGTAAGCAATAGAAAAGGAAAAAAATGAATCCAAATTCTTCAGACTGAATTGCTTGAGCTTAAAGAAAACACTAACACTATCCTATAAAAAGGGATAAAGAGAATACCTTAAAATAGATTTCAAGTTCATAAGAAGGATTGGTAAATGGGAAATAGGCATCGATCCAACGCATCTCCACAGCACCTGGAATGTTAACAGATTGAGGCTAATTGGCTTTCTCACACAGCAGTCCATAGAAAGTACATGATCAACCCAAGCTGAAACACTTCAATGACTACATAAAATTTTGGAAGTGATATGAACCTTATAGCAGTTAGTTAGACACTTCTGTCTATAAAGAATTTTACTATAGCACATAGGTCTGAGATATCTTACACATTGGTACATATTCTCCATGGTATCTCCAATGATTTCTTGTCACAAAAATTGCCACTCTTTGCAAAATCCAATAGTGCATTCATGATGTAAATAAAGATCTTAATTCAATATGGAAAATGATTTCTGAGTCCCTAATCTCATTGCGGCAGATATGCATACAATCCTTTGCAAAATTGTAATCTTTCATAAAAGTGTGGACTCTAGAATTACCAAATAAGTGACGAGCCAGGCCCTCTAGACTTTTCTTTAAATCCTCAGCTGCATATGACGTGGGATCCAAACAGGATGCCTCCCAATTGTCTGGAGTAAAAACACGAACACCTTCCATCTATATGGGAAAAAAAAGGAACTTCCTTTATGAACATGGCTATCTTACAACAAAAGTTACATGTCAAATCACAGCTGCTCATCATGTGGACCCACGAAGGACACCATTATAGGGCCCAACATATGGATTGCCCTGCTCGGTATAGCAGAGGATGCAAAATACCCATGTACTCAGAACAATTCCCAAAGGGAAAAGAATTTTGACAAGCTATCCAAAATTAAAGATATTTTCAACAGAATGAAACCTGATGAAACACAGGGTAATGCGTAGAATCTATTGAATCTCTGCGGTAAACATCGCCGGTTACAAGGAAATGAGTGTGTCCCCTTCTCAACAGCTCTGCTTGATGAGCACTTGTATGACACCTCAACACAGTTTGAGAGTCAACATAGTATGTATCATTATAGCTCCTGCTTACATGATCAGCAGGCACCAGGACATCATCAAAATTCTGCAAACAGAAGATTTACTGTCTTAAATAAATATAAATAAATATATTCTCAAAAACATTGTCCAAGGATCCAAATTTAATAAACTATTCAAAGATTTATTGTGTATAAAGCATAAGTAAGACAATGCAATTAACTCACCAAACGTATGACAAAAGGTTTGTTCATTTCAGAGGAGCACAAATAAAAAATGAGGCATAACTCTGCTTACTAATAATCCAATTCTGAAAACATTAAATTGGACAGACGTAGAGGCCCAGAATCCATCAAGAACTATTTTGAACAATTCTAATGAGTATATGAGCTTAGATAGGTTTGAAAATTTTCCTAAAATTTTTAACTTTCAATTTTAAGGAAATCAAAGTTGCATATAAGCATGCAAAATAGCACATTCACCATTCCAACACTACAGAATTGAATAACTCTATAACCAATACTGGATACATCTTTCAAAACTTAAGGGTAGACTATGACCCTTACCAGTTGGTCATATCACTGCAGGGCTCCAAAAACAGCTATGCATAAACGTAAAACCCTTTTAGATCAGAGAGATTGAATGATACTCAAAATCACATAGTAAATTTAAGAAGTTGACAAGAGAGCCCATGTAGTGTTAAACAACAAAATGCTTTAATGGGCTACATGCAGGGAGAAAGAAATGTCTATAACCTCAATATTTGATCCAAAACTATTCTCTCCCTCTAACTCACTAACCCTCCCCCCCCCCCCCCCCCAGCCCACACACACACGCACACAAAGGTTCAAGCCTACACGGTAACATATGTAATCCATGAGTTAAAAACAAGCCTTCATGACCTACAAAAGTCCATACAGATACATATATATTTTCAATATTTCAGAGATCCTAGACCAAATATTCTAAAAAAGAGCATAAGATTGATTTTTCAAAAATATCTAAACTCAAAAAGTTGTTCCTGTCCATTCCAATAGTACTTGCCAATTCATAGGAACTTATGAAAGGAAAAGGAAATAAAGGGAGTAGAGGACCACATTTTACCTGTTTCACTGAAACAATTGGGCAGAGATCATCAAACTTATCAAACATGTTTGGGTAATTAGTATCGAAATACTCATATATCCCATTCTTCAGAATCCCAAGAGGGTGGTTGTTCCTTCTGTGGAGCTGCATTCCCAGCTTTGAAAAAATTGTGTCCGGAATGTTGTTTGTTGGGTCATCCCTCACCACATCTGCAAATCCCACCATCCAAACAATACTAAACCAATCTTAAATTATGAAAACACAGAAAGTCATTAATCAAATTTCACCAATAACAAGATTTCAAAGTATATACCATGCAGATATTCAAACCAAAAAATTCAACAATAGATTTCGAGTGCTGATAATTTGCTGACAAATTTCAATCAATTCACAGTACTCCAAGAACAATGTAATCCTCCTAGACTAACCATCTCATAAATATCTTCAATTCTAAAACATATCAAACATAAACACCATAAATTTAACTCCCTTACCGAATACAACTTGAACACACAAAAAGGGCATATTTTGAAAGCTCCAACACAGATTAAAACAAGGGAAAGTACCAATTAACCATAACAATTTACTGGTACTAGAGAAAGAAAATGCAATAATTGGAGATAGAATCGTCAGTTAAAATGCAAAATCAGCAAATACTGAAATGAACCAGATCAAGGAACAGTAAATATAAGCATTAAAAACAAAAACTAAGTTCATAAAAAGTAGCATTTTTTTTACCATCCTTAGCAATTTTGATTCCACAAAGCTCTACCACTGAGGAAGCCACTGGTTGTCTCCATTTTTTCTTAGTAGACAGAGAAGCAGCAGCAGAAGAAGAAAAGGGTAAACAAAAAGAGAAGCGTTTGAAGCAATTCATGTGGTGAAAAAGTGAGGTTTTAGAGAAGATAGATGAATGAGCACTTGAAACTACTGCCATAAAAGCCTTGGTTCTCTGCTTGAGATTAGAAAAGAAGGATAAGTCAGTTTGGGGGCCGTGTTTGATAGGGAGCTTATATTTGCACCTATAATTTGCTCATTACTCCTTTTTTTTTTTTCTTTTACAAAAAAAATATTCTTAAAGTAAAAGTTAATTACCCTTATTAAAATGACTTTTTAACCCTTCAACAGAAGATCGATTTTTTGAATTTACCGGATTTATACTTTTCAAAAATATAATAAAAAATTTTTTTTGATTCATAAGAGGGCAAATGTTCATACAAGGAAGGAGGGATATAACAGGATTAAAATTCATGTTCATATATTTTTTTTAAAGTATTTTAATCACGAAATTAAGAAATGAAAGATAAATAATAATAATAATAATAATAATAATAATAAATTTTCACATAAATTTTCGAAAATATAATAACCCAATGGACATGTAATTCCGTAAAAACAAAAATCCTATTGGATATACATTTTCGTATTGAATATTTTATGATATACAAATATTTTTTATAAATTAAATTGGAACATAGCTCCAACTATCTAAAATTTCTTAAATAGAACAGAAATTGGAAAATAGAAACTGCATGAATCGAATTTAAACAGAAATCCAACTCGAACAAAATTTAAAGAACTTAAAGAGAATTGAATTTACACTGAACTTGAATTGAAATTTTTTTAATGACAGAGAGAGGTACGGGATCGGTTGAAAATCTATACTGAGCACAAAGACATGCTCAGTCAACTCTGTGACAATCCTCGCATATCTATGACCGCGGCTGACTTTGAAAGATGGTGGCAAAGCTCTAAATCTGAATGGGAGAGGACGAAATTTTAAAGATTATAAAAGATTGCACGATTGAAGTTAAATCTTACTTAGTAGTTCAACAGAGGGATTTAGTAGTTAAATCTACGATGTTGGTTTCCGAAACTCTGTGAAGCTTGCTAACATAGGGCTTGCTGTTCGGGATTCAAAAGGGGTTTTGCTGTTGCATGCTTCCAACGGATTTTTTTCAGCAAGTTTATACAGATTTCATTTTGGATGAACATGAGAACATTTTGGATGAATATAAGGCGTTTTATTAACTAGAAAGTAGGGTGTTGAGCAAGAGGATGATTCAACAACAGTTGAATTCGGCTAAAAATGCTCCTTTGTATCAAGCTCAAGTTGAAATTGGATCAGTAAGTGTTGCTGTAAGTTATTTGTGATAGAAATTTGGAAGTAGTCATTTGAAGGTTTTAGTTGAAGTGGATGATATTGATGTTGCTAAAACTTTGAACAATGAAAAGCAACTCATTAAGAAGAAAAAGAGATTGACAATAGATTATACGTAAGGGCATTTGATGGTTAAAAAGGTATAGTGGTTTTTTTTCCTTTCAAAGTCTTCAACAGATAATCGGGATATCTTTGTCATTTGTGCCAACTTGATCTGATATGATTAATGCAATTTCAGCTCAACCTTGTCCTAATTGTCCCCTTGTGGTCCCCTTCAACTTACCTATAAATATGAAGACTCATGCAACATGAAGGCAAGTTGATCTCATTCGCTTCTCTCTCTTCTTCTTACTTTCTTACTGACCTGATCTTTATTGACTTGTGTATTAGAATGCAAAGGTAGGGAACACCCCTTGCCTTTACCTCTAACTGTGCTTCTCTTCTGCATTAATAGGAACGCCCTCAGGTCTAAGCTCGACACCAACATTTGGCATGCAAAGTAAGGATCATCTCGTATTAGTTGAGCACAAAACAATGCCACCAAGAAAAAAAACCCAAGAGGAAGGAGAGGTAGCTACACCGGCTAGAACAAAAACTCACTTTAGCCAGCATTCTGTCCACCTAGCTCAACTACAGGAGGGACCGACCATGGAACAATTTCAAGTCTTGATAAAACAAATACAAGCTCTCAAGTAGATGCTGCAAACTATAACCCCATTACAAGTTTCAAAAGTGACAGACTTAACCACGTTTGATCGAGAAGCCATTGTCAGACAACCAAGCTACGAAAAAGCAGAGGTCTTTTCGGCCTTTAGAGAAGAACACACAAATCCAACTTGTCACCACCCTAGCCACAATTCCACACATGCCACAACCTAAAAATCCAAACAAATAGATCATGAATTTCAATCAAATAGATATTTGAAAGCTCGGATGCAAGCTATGGAAAAAGAGCTGAAAAAAAAGGTAGCGACATTTGAGGATGAGTTCAAGTTCCTGAAAACCTCACCCTTTACTAAAGAAATTGACAGAGCCATGCCTCTTAAAGATTTAAAATGCTAACTTTGGAGACATATGACGGTACTTTCGATCCCTTTGATCATTTAGAACTTTATAGAACTAATATAATAATGTAGAGGCAGATAAGGCTCTAATGTGCAAAGTTCTAGCCATTACATTAAAAGGCATAGCTTGATCTTGGTACAGTAGCCTAAACTGAGATGAGAAAAGTTCATCCCCTCTCTTCGACAATCAAGGTGAGAAGGCTCATTCCCCCTCCTCAATCGCAAAATAGGCAAGGATTTTTACGATCTTTCCCTAAGAAGGAAATGATATAAAGCTAGAAGCCTCAGTGGAAAAAGAAGCTACACTACACCGAATACCTCTAGTGAGAGGATTTTGATGCAAATTAAAAGAAATCCTAACCTTAAATGGCCTAAGCCACTAAAACAAAACATAAGAAGGGATCCAACAAAAAAATGTGCCTTTTATAGGGACATTGGCTATAATATCGAAGATTGTGTCGATCTAAAAAATAAGATTGAAGGTCTAATAAAATGAGGTCAATTGAAGATATTTATGGGACAGATAAGCCAAGACCAACTTAGAATAAACTACAGATAATACCACATATCATCTATCCGGGGTAAAAGGAAAGAGCAAAGCAGGAAAAAAAGGATGCTCGAAAAGAAGAGCCGAATCAAGAAGAGGGTTGAGTTGACAATAGTAAGCCAATTGTCAGGGTGACTAACATGATTATAAGAGGTAGCTCCACCTCGGTGAAAAAGAAGTTTAACCCGAGCATGGTAATGGCAGTAAGTACCTTGGTAAGGAAAAAAAACTAAAGACACGAGCCAATCCCATTTTTTTTGAAAGATCTGAAGGAATCCAATACCCATATGACGATACCATAGTGATCACAACCTTAGTGTATAATTATATGGTCAAAAGAATCCTATTTGATAATGAAAATTCGATCGACATTATGTATTACAGCTATTTGAAAAAAATAAGGATTGATGAAGATTAGTTGAAGTCGATCACCACTACATTAGTGGGGTTTAGGAATGAGCATGTGCTTGTAAAAGGAACTATTAAGCTTTCAATCTCTTTAGGAATTGAACCAAAGACAATTACCTTGATTATAGAATTTATAGTGGTGGATGTCCTATCTACCTATAACATGATATTAGGTTGACCTAGCCAATATGTTATATAGCTTATAGGCTAAGTTCTCCATTTGAAAGTGAAATTCCCAACACTTAGAGAGGTTGAAAAAGTTCGAGGAGACCAGTCTACGACACGACAATATTACGTCACAACAATGAAAGGTAGGATTGGGAAGCAAACAGGTAGCTTAATTGATATCGAGGTCAAAAGCAAAGAAGAACCAATATAGGGAACCGATAAGAAGTAGGAAATCACCAATAAAAGCATAAAACGTAAAACTAACTTGAGAGAAGCTTGCTCTTAAGTTGCTTTGAGCTTTTAAGCTCTGAAAAAGTTTAATTTTGTTCCATTTCTTGAATTTTTTAGACAACATTAGAAATAACCAAGCTCTTAAGCCAGTGTGAACAATTTGACATTACTTGGAAAAGGCTAACACGCGAGCAAAATACAACATGAAATGAAAAATATTCTTCACTTTTACTAATACGTTCAACAAGTTTTTTAATATACTAATCATCATGTTGGATCTATTTTTGTAAAAAATGATCCCGATCTAATTGAACAAAAAGAGATAATTGATTAAAAATTAGACTCGAATGTAAACCAACTTGAGCCGATTGAAGACTTTATAACAATTCCATTATAGAATAACATTCCTCAAAAATACATGCAGATCGAAGCCAAGCTTCAACATAAAGATCAATTAATTCAACTCATAAAAGATTATGCCAACTTATTTGCTTGGACACTGTTCGATATGCCTGAAATTGATATTGAAGTGATGGTCCATAGACTACACACTAATCTTAAGGTAAAATCAGTTTGATAAAAGAAAAAAATTTTATCCCCGAAACACAACAATCCATTGAGAAAAAAGTTGACAAATTATTACAAGTTGACTTATCAAAGATATCTACTACTCTTAGTGGAAAGCCAATGTGGTCATGGTAAAAAAGCATAGCAAAAAATGAAGAATATTTGTAAACTTTACCAACCTAAATAAAGCTATAGTGCCAGTTGCGATTAGCTTGCCGAGCTTAAGAATTGAATTGGTGTTGAAAGAATAAAAATGAAAAGGCACTTAGGGCTGACCTCGACCTCGTCAAAAAATAAAAAGACATAGCCCTAACACAAATTGTAGTCTACCAGTAAAATGTAGCTAACTATTATAATAAGAGGGTCTGGTATAAGTGCATCAAGAAGGGTGACTTGGTACTTAAACAGGTTGAAGCTTTAGGGATAAATGATCGAGGTGACAAATTGGCCCCAACATGGGAATGATCATATATTGTTAAGGAGGTTGTTCACAATGCAACTTACAAATTACAAGATCTAAATAGAGATGTCATCCTAAAAACGTGAAACACAAACAACTTAAAGATTTATTATTAGTAGCTCAGCATAAACTAAGTTCACACTTGCCTTATTTTGTGAAAGGCACTGTCATCCCAAGGATGTGAAATGCCAATCAAGTTTATTACCAGTTGATCGATTTAAATCAAGCTCTCACTTATATTATTTTGATCACAAACACATGAATTAAATTATCTTCAATGAGCTTATGTTTAAGTGATTTGAATAAATCTGACCTAAAACTTGTAATTATGTTCATCTAATCTAAGTAATTATGTAAGTTTTCAATTTAATTATTTGCCTTTAAATCGGTTAACCATTCTCAAACTCGTGCAAATAAAAAAGAAATGA